TTTTAGCATATACCAACTTGTGTACAGAGTAACTTATTTTCATATACAATAATTCAATAAAAACAAACAAACAGAAACTTGCAGTTTGCGTGACAAATTCACGCAAAACTTTTAGCAAAACTTTTAGGCCATACTTCGTTGCCTTTTTAGTATTGATAGGAACGGCATTTACTTTCATTTTTTCAATTTCCTTATCGGAAATTGTAGCAACGATTGCCGGAAGATGCCATTTTGTTGCCGACTCAATATTCCGAGATGCAGAGGGTAATATCGTACAATATTCTCCTCCAATTAACCAATACACCAGTTGGTATATGCTAATATATATATGTATAAATTTATGACACAACGTTTCTGCAATCGAGTGTATACACTTATTTCAACAAAGTTAGTCACCTGAAAAGCTACAAAGCTGAGACAGACAAGGATTATGAGTAGATACATTTTACATGTTTCAACCGCTTGATAACTGTTGATGGACTTGAGATCTTCTACCAGTTACAAGTTAACCTCCTCTTAGCATCCTCAACTGCTGCAGTTTGTGTCAAAAGCTTTACTTGTTGGATATAAAACATTTCCCCATGATTCTCGGTGATCACAGCTTTAGGTTTTTGTTGACTAACTTTATTGAAATAAGTGTATATATATACAGGAAAGTTGAAATATAAAAATAAAGAAATAACAAAAAAAATTAAATTCTATTTTGAGCAAATTACGTGTAATTATTTCACTCTGTTGAAGGAATAAGAAGATATAACTAGTTAAAAACTAGTGTGAGCTGCGTCGGTGTTTCTAATGAAACGGTAATGATAATAAGGTAAATTATACACCGTGAAAAGATGAAAAAACTTACTGACGTTTCGGACTCAGACGAAGGACTAGCGTCCGAAACGTCAGTAAGATTTTTCATCTTTTCACGGTATAATTACCTTTTCATCATTACTGTTGAAGGAATAGATTGACATTTTTGATATAACCTTACCTGCCTATTACCTAGCTTTTTTTTGCATGAAAGTATTTATGTGTTTTGATTTGTATTTTGATATTGTTACGAAGCTTCACGTCCAAAACCTTTTCTGCCTCACCACAAATCATAAAATTCACAAAAGCATATGATACAAGTTGACCATTAGATTGGATGTGACGTTTTTCAATTATGAAGAAAATATTTTTAATCTTTATTTTTTTACAAAATTTAGGCATGAAATTACTAGTTATGAATATTGAAATAACATATTATGCATAAAAGCTGCGAATTCGCCATAAGAAGGTATTCGCGATCCGACGATCCACTTCACCAAAGTCCAGTTCATTCCAGCTATGCTCGGTTCCKGRTTTTCCAAATTAAAAAAATCTCTCAAAATTCAAAATCTAGAAGCATGAATCAAATTTCAAAGACTAGACATGTTTTTGCTATGCATTAAGATTRTCCATACCCTTTAAAAAGCTGAACATTCCACGATTGTTTTTGGGTGGTATTCGGGATCAAGTCAATCGACGTCCGGTCTAGCTTTCATCAAATCACAAAAATCACTTATGTATGATGTCAAGAATATTTGAAATCAAAATAGTAAATTTGGTAAAAAGTGCGAATTATGAGTAGTTCTCCTTCGTGTAGGTACGGGTACGGGTACGGGTACGGGTACGGGTACGGGTACGGGTACGGGTACGGGTACGGGTACGGGTACGGGTAGAGGTCTAGGTCTAGGTCTAGGTCTAGGTCTAGGTCTAGGTCTAGGTCTAGGTCTAGGTCTAGGTCTAGGTCTAGGTCTAGGTCTAGGTGTAGGTGTAGGTGTAGGTGTAGGTGTAGGTGTAGGTGTAGGTATAGGTATAGGTATAGGTATAGGTATAGGTATAGGT